AGATGTGAGTCCTGGGTAAAGCACTTGTCACATTCTTCACACCTGTAGGGTTTTTCTCCAGTATGAATTCTGTAATGTGTCCTAAGTATGGAGCTCTGAGTAAAGGACTTGTCACATTCTTCACATTTGTAGGGTTTCTCCCCACTATGAATACTTTGATGATGTCTAAGATTTGAGACCTGGGTAAAGCACTTGTCACATTCTTCACACCTGTAGGGTTTTTCTCCAGTATGGATTCTGTAATGTGTCCTAAGTATGGAGCTCTGAGTAAAGCACTTGTCACATTCTTCACACCTGTAGGGTTTTTCTCCAGTATGAGTCCTTTTATGACATCTAAGATATGAGGGGTGGTTAAAGGACTTACCACATTCTTCACATCTGTAGGGTTTCTCCCCAGTATGAATACTTTGATGATGTCTAAGATGTGAGTCCTGGGTAAAGCACTTGTCACATTCTTCACACCTGTAGGGTTTTTCTCCAGTATGGATTCTGTAATGTGTCCTAAGTATGGAGCTCCAAGTAAAGCACTTGTCACATTCTTCACATCTGTAGGGTTTCTCTCCAGTATGAGTCCTTTTATGACATCTAAGATGTGAGGCATGGCTAAAGGACTTGTCACATTCTTTACATGTGTAGGGTTTCTCTCCAGTATGAATATTTTTGTGGCATCTAAGATAGGAGGCTTTCGTAAAATACTTGTCACATTCTTCACATTTGTAGGGTTTTTCCTCAGTATGGATATTTTTATGACTTCTAAGACTTGACAAGTCAGCAAAGCACATGTCACATTCTTCACATTTGTAGGGTTTCTCTCCAGTATGAATAGTTTTATGATTTTTGTGGGATAGGAGGCTTTCGTAAAATACTTGTCACATTCTTCACATTTGTAGGGTTTTTCCTCAGTATGGATATTTTTATGACTTCTAAGACTTGACAAGTCAGCAAAGCACATGTCACATTCTTCATTCTTCACGGGTTTCTCTCCAGTATGAATAGTTTTATGATTTCTAAGATTTGAGGCCTTGGTAAAGCACTTTTCACATTCTTCACAATTGTAGGGTTTCTCTATATTATGAGCTCTCTGCTGTCTTCTAAGACTTGAGTTCTGAAGGATAATGAAAAAGAAGATTGCATTTCGATATGGAGAATAAGGCTGAGGTGATCGCACATTAAGAGTTATATAAAGAACATGTAATAAGCATGAATAAAATTTGGAACAATATTGACAAACATTCAAGGGAACTAAAATAAAAATCTATGAGTTGAAATCAAAAGTAAAGTGAGAAAATTTATTCCAAGACAGCCGTATGTAATTTGGCCCTAATCACACATGGTCTCCTGGATTTGGGGAGAGCTAAAGTATATGATCTGGGGAAGGCTAGGAAGACAAGGCATGACCCATGCTGGGTAAAGGCTTTCCAGTGTACATAGCCTCACTTCATTCATACACCTCAGCAACCCCTCAGTTATCTTGGTAAGTAAGCTTAGTAAATTCATTAGTTCACCAGTCAAACATCAATCAAACATTGGCTTGACACTAGAAACTTAAAAGGGAATAAACATTGCTTAGTATTCCCAGGAAAAGAATTCTCACAACAGATGGAGAATTTATTTGTTAATGTTATATTAAAAAGAAAAAGAAAGAAAGGAAGGAAGGAAGGAAAGAAGGAAATGAGGGTACGT